TTTTTTTCTATTGGGTTTCATCTCTAGCCTACCCCAACTTGTTTGGGACTAAAAGGCTTTATTGTTGTTGTTGTTATTTGATTAAGCGATTGATATTTAAATAAATTAATTTATCTTAATGTCATAGTAAAATTTCTTAAAACTATATAAGTATTTTTTATAATAAGTTAATATTTTTCAGCTAATTAATTGGTCATAATCCCTCAAAATTACAAAATACATTATTTATTACATTTTATGATATCAATATAGTGATTCATCTACAATCAAATCGTTATGTACTATTCGTTTTAACCAATGATCAAAATATAAAACATAATGCCGTTATCTAACTTATAATTTAATATTATATGCATAAATTATATACTATGTGTTTGAAATTTAATATCATTAATAAACTTATAATTTTAATATCATATACATAAAAATAACTTATAATATTTTATTTATATATGTGCATTTGCACAGGTCAAATACTAGTCAACTTTATCATCATAACATCTGAGTTATGTGTGTCTACTTTCCTTAAGTCATCACATAAAATTAGCTCTTTATATGTGAATTTGTTATTATACAGTCACCCGAAATAAAATTCTCAGCTATCAATCTTATTCCTTCTTCACTTCTGGACCAGATGAGGTACTACATTGGATTTGTTTATGACGATATTCAGGCATTATTAATTTAGTCATCCCGCATACTTAACTCATGAATGTTTGTCCTAATCATGTAGGTGAAGTGCTGGCAAATTCTTCGACAGACGAAAGCTCCACAGGCTGATGGAACAATTCATACTGATTTTGAGAAATGTTTTATACGTGCTAAGGTATTAGCCCTTTTTGCCTGATGTATGGATACACATCCATATCTATAGGTGTATAAATACTGCCTGGTTTATGTTTGTTTGCACTGTTTTCTTGAATGTGAACTACACTATTAATGTTCAATTATTGGATTATGTGATGCATTACAGGTTATGAAGTTTGAAGTGTTTAAGGAACTTGGAAGTGAGTCGGCTGTGAAGGTTTTTTCTGTAAATAATTCACTAATTCATTGTGAATGATTTGTTGGAAATTTCATCTGGTTTTATGAGATTTTCACCGAGTATGAACATTGTTTTTTGTTTTTTTTTTTTTT